AATTGATGTTAAGAAGAACAATCTTAAGAAGGAATTGATGTTAAGAAGAACAATCTTAAGAAGGAATTGATATTAAGAAGAACAATCTTAAGAAGAAATTGATATTAAGAAGAAAAAAAAGGCAAAGGACACTAAAAACAAAGTATGAATGCTCCTCAAACACATGAAAACATGTCCAATCATACTCATAGAAAGAAAAATGCAACCCACCAACACACTACGCTAAGATCTCATTTTTCTTTACCGCATTGGCTGAAAACATTCACAAGCTTGGTTGTACAGTCTTTTGGAGAGCTTTAGGGAAACAGACACTTACACATTGCTGGTGGGATTGCAGTATGATGCAACTTGTATGGAGAGAAATCTGCTGATATCTAATGAAATTAAATACATTTTCCATTTGGCCCAATAATCCTGATTCTCAGAGTCTATTGTAAAGATATACCCACATAGATAGAGTAACATATGTATAAGGTGATTTACTGTGAAACTATTTGTAATAGCAAAATACTGAAAGCAATCTAAATGTCTATTAACAAGGGTACTAGTTAAACAAACTATGATAGGATCTCACAATGGCTTAATAAAGAATTAGGATGATTTTTGTATACTCATAAGGGAAGATTTCCAGGAAATATTTTTTAGGTGAAAAAAGCAAAGTCCAGAGTATTATATATACTATATTTTGTACTAAAAGTGTGGAGGGAATACAGATGTTTATATTTATTTGTATTTGCATAAAGAAGCACTAAATTCATAAATAAGGAATCATAAAAATACCTATGAGGCAGAGATCAACAGGGTAAAGGGGTCAGGAATGGGTGTAACATTTGTCTGTGGATACCTTTTTGTGTAGCTTTGACTTTGGAATCCAAAAATCCAATTCTCTTTAAAAAAATAAATAAAAACAAAAAGTACTTTGATAGAATCATCATCTGTCAACAAATCTACTCCATTTTCAAGGCCCCTCCAATGAATCAACCCACTTTTCGAAATTTTCTGACATTTACACCTTCTCTAATGACTGCAACTGGAAGAGCTAATTCCTCCACCACATTCTCCAAGCACTTGTTTTGTATGGTTGGCTTATCAGGTGCTTTTCACTCTTTGATCATCAGGGGTTGATCTTGACACTGACACACTTGAAAGGCAAGAGGGCAGTGAAACGGGATGATGGACAAGCTGGGGGCAGGCTCCCCCGCCTCGAGGACACAGCGGGATTGATAATCAAAGACGGAATAAACAGAGAGGGACGCCAAGCCAGTGTCTGGAAGTGTGATCACTCCCCCAGCCTTGCCTCGCTGCACAAAGTGGCAGGGTCTGAAGAAGGCAGCTGCCAGGCACTGTCACTACTGACGGAAGAAAGGAGGAGTTGGGGCAAAGGGTCAAATTTTCAGGTGCTCCTGAGGAAAAGTGACACTCTACATTGTTATGGAGCCTATGGGGCTTGTCCATAAAGAACAATTCTCTTCAACAGGATCAAAGACAGAAAGAGAATATTAGGCTGAAATGGAGTCTACCATTTTCACCTATCAAAGGTATTTTAGAAATGCACCCATGAATTCTTTATTCATGGGACTATGGAATCACTTTCTTTCCTGTTGTCATGTTCCATCCATGAGCCCATCAACTTCCCCACCTCCTTTCTCATCAATTACCCTTAGAGTCTTCTTCCTTCAAAGGAGGCCATCAAAGAACTTCCTTTGCCCCATAAAAATGTCCGTATGTTCTCGCCCTTAAAATCCGGTGATTGACTATCAGTGTCAAATATTTTTCAGCCCTCTATTCTGCTAAGAAAGAAACATGTTTGCTGTGCTTTCCCCTCAGTTTCTCTTTTCAGTTCTGCAACAAAGTGTCTTAGGCCAGCAACTTCTTCCCATCTGCACACTTAGTCTGTAATTCCTCCTCTTGACATAGATACAAATTTTTCTACCCAATTGATATTTTAAATACCACTAACAATTGGGAATGCTTTAATGTACCATGTCTTTCTAAACTCTCACGTATAATATTATCTTGGATGAGAAAACCAGATGGGCTTATCCTGCATTGCAATTTGCTCAGGCATGAGTAACTTTCATTAGGCTAACGACTGAAATCTTAAGGTAAATTTCCTGGAATTTGTGGGTCCATCATTTATAGTTCAAATACACTTAGCAAGATGGACCAGCTGGTGAGTACAGCCCACAGTGTAGTTGGATGTGGGTCTCTGTTTTTGAGGCCCAGTAAAAGTCTGGAAGAGGAGAGACTACTTGATTTATTTTTAAGGAAAGTAAGGCCATCTGATAGATTTCCAGCTGAAAATTGGTCAAGGCTAGAGTTTGGTTCACTGAGCCCATGATGCATGCCAATTCCTGTTTTCCCATGGCTGGCTCCCAGTCTTGGCTGAAAGTTCTACGGCCTTTCCCATAAGGGTAAGCTGGGACATAACACGAGGAGAGAAAGGCCTTCCAGGAATTAAATGAGGAACAAAATAAAAGCCCCCCCCCCCCCTCCAGATCAAGTCCAAACTGCCATTCAGTGAGAGGCAAACACCAATGCACAATACCTGATTTCCAATAGGGCAGGGGAAAAAAAACCCTCAGTGCCTCTACAGCTCATATTTAATCCAGATGTCTAAAAAACAGCAGGATTAATGCTAAAAATTTGCCAAGGCAACACCAGATGCTTATAACAGTTGGGACCACATAGAGACTGAAGTAGAACATATAATGATTTTTCCAAACTTCTCTGAAATAAGGAATGAGGTTTCTTTGTGTAAGGGTTGGTGGGCAACACATTTGACACTGGAAACACCTGGTGGAGGAGGCCTTTTATCACCAGCCAGCACCAGCTTCTGCACTAGATTGAATACCTACTTCCTTTCTAGACATCTGGGCTATAATTAAGCTCACTGGCTCTTGCTACTATTTAAAAATCCAGGAAGCTAATGGTTGAATCTCAGTTAAACACTAAATATGTGGCTTTGTAGTATTAGTCTTTTGGGCTTTGGTTTTATTACCAGGAGTAGTAATGCACCTTGTGACCTCGAAGGGCAGTCATGAGGGTTCACTGTTAACATTCTGTAATTAGCAGAAAGCAATTACAAGTCCCTTTTCATTATAGGTGCTCTAGTCCCTGTGACAGTTCGTTGATCTCCAGATGCCTGCCGGAAAAAATGGTGGTAATGATGACCACACCATAGTACTTATTATATGGCACATATTTATACACATTATCTTACTAAATCCTCACCATAGCCTGTGAAAGAGATATAATTATTTTCAAGGCTGAGGCTTAGGAAGTAACTTGCCCAAAGTCACACAAGAAATAAGTTGGGACTGTTGGTTTGAACTGGTCTGTTTGACTCTAGACCTTCTGTCGTATCTTCTGTTTGTATGTATGAGTATTGTTGTTTTGGTAAAGGACCTTGTTGTTGTTTTCTCTCCCAAACACACACCGCACAGGGATTAATGTCCACAAACCAATCACCAATCCACAATGATTTATGATGGGACATTGGAAAGGATGGAATTTATTTTCCTTTGGAGCTATCTCAGTGGAAGGTGAGTTAATAAAAAGAGAGAAGGCATAACTGAAATTCCATATCTGAATAAATTCTAGAGATCTGCTATACAATATTGTGCCTCTAGTTAAAAACACTATACCGTGCACTTAGAAATTAGTTAAGAAGTTCAGTCTTCTGTTGTGTTTTAACCACAATTTAAAAAATATGATTTTGGGGCGCCTGGGTGGCGCAGTCGGTTAAGCGTCTGACTTCAGCCAGGTCACGATCTCGCACTCCGTGAGTTCGAGCCCCGCGTCGGGCTCTGGGCTGATGGCTCAGAGCCTGGAGCCTGTTTCCGATTCTGTGTCTCCCTCTCTCTCTGCCCCTCCCCCGTTCATGCTCTGTCTCTCTCTGTCCCAAAAATAAGTAAACGTTGAAAAAAAAATTTTAAAAATATGATTTAGAAGCCAGACAATATTCAAACCAAATGACATTCTCATGACATAATTATGACTACTATGTGTTCTGTTACATCAAGATCACATGACAGAAAAATCTGTGAGCTAATGTGTTATATATATTGAAGCTAACTGTTAACTAATGGGGAAAATATGTTTTATATTCTTTCAGAGGAAATATATTTTATGAAAAATAGGCAGGATATGCACATGGTAAAATATGAAGGACTTTCATTATAGTTAAAATAAAAACTTTGAGAAGTCGAGAATACATGAAGGGTAAAAGTTTTTTTTTTTTTTTAAAGATAAAGCCCCAGAGATGTAATAATTATAAAAGAAACTGGGTGGGTCAGATCTGGGGCTTCTGACTTTGCGGCTGAACTACTCACAGTAAGTCTTGCAACATTCCCATGAGAATTGCAAGAAGTTAGACAGCTGCCCAGCACTGAGCTGTGCACCTCCCGAGCCTCACATGCACCATTAATATGAAAAATTGTGAAAACTCTACATTCAGCCAAATTCGTCTGCTCTCCAAAAGGACTTGGGTGCAGTTCAGTCCACACTTTCAGTGACTTTTCATTTAGCTGAACAGCGTCTCTCAGCCCTCCCCAGTCTTGCCAGAGTCAAGTGCTTCCAAGGGCCTGGCAGGTCCCCATCTGTGAGTGAGTCACCTGCAGCATGAAGGCAGCAGGAAGATCAGATGGTATTAGTCACAGGCAAGAAGACTCCAGATCCAGAAGAAACTGTCTACATACTTTTCTGGCTGCCCCACCACTGTATTACCTCTCACATTTTTCTCTACCTTATTGATCTGCAAACCATAGAATTCTTGCATATTTATTTTTTCATTTTAAAGTGCCAAAAACCTACACCAGAACCATGTGGAACAGTTAACATAAGTAGGTAGGTAAGCTGACCTTTGTTACGACAAGGAAAGAGCCCTCTGAATATCTGAATTTTCCTCTTAATTTCCCACTGACCTCTCCCATAAAGTTTGTCCCACCTTACGTATGAGAAAAACAATAATGTAATTAAAATGTTTAAGAGAACCTAGCTGGAAGTGGTCGATTTTCATGGTGCTGTTGTTGACAGGGCCAAAGATGGTGATCACGGAGATTTTCCTGGTGGCCATCTTGCAGAAGCTTTCCAGATACTCATCTCGCTGTTGCACATACATGTTGTTCTCAACCTTAGGAGCGGTGATCAGCTAAAGGCAGGCGGAGGCAAGCAAATATTAATTCACAGTGATGGTTGTACACAGAGGCAAAATCCAAAGGGAACATTTGGAATAGAGGGCTGGCAGTGACTGGCACTAAAGTCAACTAAAGCGCTCCCCTGGACACTTGGCATAGTTAGGGCCAAAACAGGCCATTCGGAAAGGCCCTCTTTATTTCAATGGTTCCAGACACCTTAGAGTTTTCTATTCCCACCAGTTATCTTTATCACCAGTCTCCATGTGCCTTAGTTTTCTCATCTGTGAACTCTGCACAGGAATACTTATTTTGCAAGGCTGTTACGAGCATTACATGAATGCTTGACATGTCATGATTGTTCAATAAATGCTATCTCCTTTCCTTCCTTTTGGTCTTCATAATCCTAATTGGCAGCTCACACATTAGTAAGTTCAGTGGTTTTTACTCTTTTGTGTCATGTCCCATAGGGTTGAGAGAGCTTCATAACCAGGCCTGGGGCACTACGGAACATTCAATGACTCAGTATCTTTAGTAGGCAACTTGCAGAAAGTTTTTAGGATGGCCTTTTCGCCTATGTTTTGTCACACTGGGCCCATACAGAGCTTGTGGCAGACTTCTTTGACATTCGAATCCCCCAACAGGATGGATTTTTACTGTTTCATTTCAGCCTTCTTTCTAATTCAGACCTGGTATTTTTCACCTAACTCCTTGTGTCTTTCAAGCTCACTTTGAACCCCTGAGTTCTGGGGAAAAAAGAGGAAAAATAGAGCAAAAGAAAGAGATGCTGTAGTCAGTGGAGCCATCTGGGACAACATATGTTGTAATTTTGTAGAAAAAGAGAATATCCTTATTTTTAGGGCTCCTGTTGAATGCTCTAAGAATGTCTCAATGCTCCTATCTAAGTGGATATAAAAGCTTTTCTCCTTCCTTGATTATTTTTGTGGCCTTTTCCTGAGCCTTCTCCAATTCTACCACATTTTTCATGAGCAGAAACCAGAACTGTATACCTCACTCCACAAGTGAGTGGGGTGGTGGTGTTCACCCTGCCCACTGATGTGAAATTTCATTCTGAGGATGACCAGGTCTTTGTTGAGCTCTTTGACCCCCCATACCTCACTAGGCTGGTGTCTGCAGTGAAGGCTGTCTATTGATCTTTTGCTAACTGGTCACTTAGCTTAGAGACCAGCCTCTATACACATTTCTCGAACTTGACCACATTCAAATTTATCAGCCACTTTTCTTTTTTTTTTTTTTTTTTTTTTTGTATTTCCTTTCCTTTCTTTTTCTTTTATTTTTTCGATATATGAAATTTATTGTCAAATTGGTTTCCATACAACACCCAGTGCTCATCCCAAAAGGTGCCCTCCTCAATACCCATCACCCACCCTCTCCTCCCTCCCACCCCCCATCAACCCTCAGTTTGTTCTCAGTTTTTAAGTCTCTTATGCTTTTATCAGCCACTTTGCTACTTGCCCATCTAAACTTACAAAATATTTCTGAAGTTTGTGACTATTAATTAGCTTGGCATTTTTCAGAAAGGAAGTCACCATGTTGCTAAACCTCGTCCTCACACTTTATGAAAATGGTTACTAAATCTGCTCCCAGCTTGATATTGGTATTTATCTTTCTCTGTCACAGATGTGTTAATTGTTGCCTGTAGGCTTTCCCTTTTAAAGATTTCCTGTGTCTGCCAAATTCTATCACTCGTGGATATCAAAATGTGTTCAATAACACTTTTGAGTGGAACATTAACAAAGATTTTTCTGGGATTAAATTTTTTTCCCCTCAGGTTGTTACTTACTTTAAGTAGTCATGATTTTGTTTATTTTTGATTTCATGTTTATATGCCTGTTCAGACAGACAGGGTTGGGTAGAAAATGCTTATTTTAGAAATGTAATTTCCCAAAGGAAAAATAGTATTTCCCCAAATGTATTCCTTGATTCATACTCAGCCTTAAAAAAAGATTTAAAGTGGCTATAAAAAATACACGGTGATGATATTTTTGCTTTGTTTGTTAGTTTTTAATTAGCTTTATGATATTTGAAAGCATTTCTTCAGCTTTGGTGGTGGCCCAAATCTTGGAGTTTTATTTTCAGTTGGTATGTTTTAGGTTTTTCTTTCTGGCCATTCTTCGCTCACAAACACACTATTTTAAAATAAATGAATGTTTACGTGAAAACACAAAACCGTCAAAAACAAGGGTAAGTTCTACTGGTAATGATCTTGGATTCCTTTTTCTATATTTAGAATATATTTAGAGGAGTGCCCATGTGCTAGATGACTGATAGTTACCTGCCACTGTAACTTCAAATCCATACATTTCATTCTTGACATATTTTGCCATGAACCATTACAGTCTATGATATGACATGCCATGACAGGATTTCCAGATTCCTCAAAACTACTTCTGGTCCCTTTGTCCTTCTTGTGCATAACTGGGGTTTGCAGACAATATAGAATCTGGTACAGAACCTCATCCTCCCCTGCCTGGCAGTTTTTCTCGGTACCTCTGAACACCACAGCCTGAGGCCATTGGATACCCAGTGGGAATCCAACAGAGGTAGATAAAGAGCCCTGATGTTTATTTGCATCTCAGGACCTATGCCCAGGGATGCCTTGACCCACCAGTGAGGTGACATTTATTTTGCATGACTCATTTCCTCCCTCCTTCGGCAACCTGGCCCCAGGCTCTCTCTTGCTAACCTTTCCTCTTATTCCTCCCTTACATGACCTCTTCACTCTTCAGCCAGACTGCTCTCAATGGTGAAATGAAAGGAATCTGGGCAGAGTGGCACAGAGAAAGGGTGTCTGCAGCCAAAGCAGGAGGGCCTGAATTTTCTCCTAGTTCAACCGTTGGCTACCTTGCAGCCTCAACAAGACCACTTAAACCTTATGAACCTTACCTTTTGCATCTTTATAACAGAACAACTCTGCCACTCATCAAGTAGTGAAAATCAAGAAAAAAATTCTATCTATCTATCTATCTATCTATCTATCTATTTATAGGCTGTGTGCACACAATCACCATACGTGTATGTTGCCTCTGAAGAGTTCGCTCTCATTCCTTCCTCTGCCTTGGCCCCTATCACTCTTTCCACCCAGAAAGCTCTCCCCTCCCCTCCCCCTTATCCACATCTCATGTAGTCTTCAAATGCAAGATCCTTCTTAATGCCTTTACTGGCCCACAATGGCCACTTTCTTCTTTTAATTGCTCTTCAGATGCAGGCCCACATTTCTCAGGTCCCACAGATTACTCCAGCCAGAGGAGAGGAAGTGGTCCCCTGCTGAGGAATGTCTAGATGCAGCCTGCAAACCAGCTGATAAAGACACTCCTCCCCCCCCCACCCCCATTTAATCTGCTCCTCGAGTTTGTATCAGAGGAGGCTGATCATGTGAACATATTTTGGCGACTCTTTCTCTGTATACTGACACCTCCAGCCCATTCACCGTTCAGTTCGGCAGTATTTCCAACGGTATTTAAAATGGTAACCGTGTCCAGTCCCCTCTTCCTAAAAAGAGCATCCTAGAACTTTTTGGTAAACATTATTGTCTGACACTTGCCCTCGTTCCAGTTTGGTGGTGATAAATCAGGGCATGTGTCATGAATAGAGAATTGTGTTGTGTTCTTTTTTACATTTCTGTTTCCAACTGGTGTGTTGGCACGAGGAGCCTCAGAATGTCATGAAGCCAGTTTGCATAAGTAAAGGGAGCAAACAGGAATGGGAGGATGCCAGAGGGAAGATATTTTAAGTCTCAGCTTCTTCTAAGTGCTGCGCTAGGATCAAAACACGAGATTTTTACAGGATTCTGAAAAATGACATTCAAGCTAGTCGTCTCAGTAAAGCAGAGCTTTGTATCCCTTTCTAAAATTAAACCAAATAAGTGGCTTGTTGTCCCAATACCCAGATTTCTGAGGTAAGGCTAAAAAGTGTGAACCCAGCTGCATTAGAAGAGATTCAGTCTCCAAAGAGTACTTAAACTTGATCTCGAGTCTATGCAGTCCCACATTATGAGGCCTCTTGCTAATTGACAAGTAGGGACATCTCGGGGCACAAAGTGGTGGCTTTAGAGCTTGGCTCCACATAGTTCCAATGTTTTCGTGATAAAAGGCTTAACTGTGTTCTTACGTTGTCAATCCCAAACTGACACCAACCGGTCTGAGGGATTAGGTTAACAGGGATTCAGTCTATTGTTCTCCACTGACTGAGGGCCAGGAAAGCCAGAGAGCTAAGGTGCAGAGAATTACCTGGGTATTAAAGGCGGAAACTCTACATTGTTGCTTAGCAAAAAAATGTTGACAATTGATATACCTGGCTGTTTACCTGAGTAATTTAAGGTTGAAAGTGAATTTTAAAACATCTGTATTGATTAACAGGATGAATCCTTAGTTTCCCCCTCACTTTACTGCTTATGCCCACTAGAAGCTCACACCCATAGGAAGGCAGAACAGAGGGAGAGGCTGGAATGTGAGCTTTAAAATCAAACAGGCCCGGGTGCCTGGGTGGCTCAGTCAGTTAAGCATTCAACTTTGGCTCAGGTCAAGATCTCACAGTTGGTGGGTTTGAGCCCCGCAACCAGCTCTGTGCTGACAGTGCGGAGCCTGCTTGATTTTTTTTCTCCCTCTCTCTCTCTGCCCCTCCCTGACTCATGTTTTTTCTCTCTCTCTCAAAATAAATAAATAAACTTAAGAAAAATCAAACAGACCCGAGTTCTAACTCTGACTCTGCCACATATTAGCTGCACACCTTGGGAAACTTCTCAACCTCTCTGAGCTTCTTTTCTTGGCTGTATGGTAGAGTTAATCAGTCCTTTCTCATGGGGTTGTTGTGAAAATTAAACCACACAGTTTTGGTGAAGCACCTTACGTTGCCAAAGGATGTGCCCTTTTCTGTTCACAGGCTGACAGGCAGGGGCTTGGAAGGACTGACCTCTGGCCTCAGAGTAGGAAACCTGTTTTTACTTGCAGCTCCTTTGAAGGTCCCTACTATGATGTTCACTCATACCACTGCAGCCACCGTTTCTCTAAAAAATTGGATAAGGAGTGATTACATGATGTTTTCACATCTAAAGAATGATATAAATAAGTGTAAAAGCACTAGGGCTTTATGATAAATTGTACTTGGGCACCAGGTTACGGAAAAACTGGAAAGATGAGCTCAAAGTCCTGCGTGATTTCTGGGAGTGACACCTTATTTCGGTCCGAGCACACTGGGTTAGGTTGAGGCCAGTTGGAGGTATATGTTGTCAGCCGTCTTTAATAACTCAGAGCGTGCTGAGCCTTAGCGAATATTAATCGAATCACTGAACCTCCCGAGTAACATCGGCGTGTCGAATGGGAAAAATGAGTAGAAAAAGACAAATGGCACCAACAAGCCCTTTCGCCCAGAAACACAAGTCTCCTCTCTGCCTGGTGAAATGGAATTTCTTTTCTCTCCATCTTTTGCTATTTTGTCACGTTTATTTCATCTTGTCTTTTCTCGCCCATTCCTATTTTAGATATTAGCTCTTCAGAACACACACTTCTGATAGGATCATCAGCTGGGCACATGTGGGATGGCAAGATTGAACTGCCCCCTCTTGCTACTTTCTTTCTAATAACAAACCTGGTTCGTTCACCAGCCCCAAAGAGCAACACTGCCGTGAGCAATCCCAGCTGGTTTCTGTTTTGCCTCACATGACATCAGCACAAACTGTCGCTTGATTTTCATTTGCTAGAAATTTATGATCAGGGATACTGTTTAAAGCAGAAAATAGCCAGCTGGACTTTCAAATCCCTGACTAAGGGAGTAGAGAGAAAGGGGGAGAAATGAAAGGCATGACTAATATCAGGGATAGAGTATGAAAACCTCTTTCTTTTGACTCAGAAACCAGGGGCAATGGCAGTATTTGCCAGCCGGGTGCACAATTACAATCCTGACATTTTACCCAGGATTATTTCTCCCCTGCTTGAACCCTGCCCACGAGGAACACTTCGCCTGCCCTGTTGGCTAAATGGCCAGGGTTGGGTGATGTGCTTTCACAGGCTGGACTAAGTGCTGTGTACTCAGGAGGAGCACACGACCAATGCTTGCCCACGCCCCAAAGACAGCAGTTGACTCCCTTGGGTTCTCTAATAAACATTTAAGTCCCAGGTAATTCTTCTCTGAAATAGTGATTCTTTGGTTCTGACTAAAATATTCTCATTTAAATTTATGTCCTCTGAAAATAACCAAGTAGCTGTTAAAGTACTCTAGCAGACAGCATATCCTCTACTAGCTAATTTATATACTTTAAGGCTCAGTTAAAAATGAGTAAAATATACCAAAAAAAAAAAAACAAAACAAAACACATAACAACACACATACACTCACCACACAAACCTGTACAATCAATGAAAACTTACGTTTTGTTCTAATACATAGGTACACTATTGTGGAACAGCTAAGAGAATTTTGGGACATGTCTCGCCCATGATAAACACCACCAGGGACTCTGCTCAAATGCGTCTTTCAGCTTTTTTGAAACCACTAAAGATGAATGGACACCAGAGTCCCGCTGCTCAGATTCTTAATCCATTAATGACCAATTAATCCATCATTAGTCTGGAAAAACTAAAAGCCCCTTTGAGAGATGCCTTGAGAGAAGAGTGCCTGTCTCCTTTGGTGGGGATAATGCAAGGTGCAGAGTCACCTTGTGCCTTCGGTAGGAAAGATGCTGTCCTCGGTGGCATGAGAGGTCTCCTTCCCACCTGGGTATCTGAAAAAACTCATCCCTGACCCACATTGCCCAACATTAATTTCTGATCCTTTTCTCTGAAGTGATTGTATGGTACCTTCTCCTCCTTGACAGCTTGGAGTAAAATGACAGTATTAAGAAGGGGTAGAAATCTTGGAAGGGCCCTGAAAGAAGGGGCAAGGAGACATGGAGAGGGGAAGGAGCCATTCTCACACGGCTGATGACAACTGCCCTTACATTTAGGATGGGATTCATTTCTGTCCAAAGGCTTCCTTGGGTTTGACTAGATTCTTTTATCATTCTTTGGATGGAGGCAAGTAATGGCCAAAAGAGAGAGCTCCTGAGATGGACCTACAGCTTGCTCAACATCAGTGGCTTCAGAAACACCCACAAAGTAGGAGAAAGAGTTGCTTGTCTCCTTACACACACACACACACACACACACACACACACTCACACACACATTCATTTGACAGGGGCTCAGGAGAAACTGACATCTGTCTCTAGGGTATTGGAAATTTGAACAATCAACCCAGTTCCTCACACTCTACCTTTTTGGCCTCTTACTGGAAGCTGGGCAGTGACGAGGGAGGCAATCTTTAAGGGGAGAAGACTTCAGCTGGTTTTAAAGTATTTGTGAGGGTCACACCAACAAGGACCCTCCCCCACTCCCAGTCACACTCACTCCCCACCCAGGCTGCCTTACTTTCCTTTTTGAGGCTTCCATGTGTTGATACAGACCTAATTAGGGGGAAAAGGAAAAACTTTACCAATTCCCCACACACATGCGTCTAGTTCCTAAGCTCATGAAGAGATAAGTCCTTTTCCTAAGTTGTCACCAGAGTCAAAGCATGCCATTTTAGGAACTATACCCAGAACTATCCCTTGAGAGAGAGCTAAGGGTGGGGGGTGGGCACTGACAGGTTTGGAAGAAGCTGAGCATAGGTGCCTCCCCAGGCACAAGGTCTGAGGTCCTCTGGCCATTGAGTCTGGACGTTAGGGCCAGGAATCTGTGTGGACAGAGGTTCACAGAGCACCGGCCTGGCCACCCTCTCTTGGCACACCTTCTGATCTTCTCCACACGGCCTGGGTTCAGCCACAGCCCGCCGTCTAGCAACATGATTTTAGGAAAATAACAAAGCAAACATTAACGTGCCCTGCTTTCGCCCACAGAACACTGCTGGGGAGATTACTTACAAGAAGTCGTCGTTTGCCTTCAAAGGACCCCAGCAGATCGGTCACGGACTTCCTGGGACTCTGAGCGAAGTGTTTTGTGGTGGGTTTCAGGTAGCCATCCTGCTCTGTTTTCCCTGCTTTTTTCTTCTTGTTCTTCTCTTTCTCTTGCCGGCTCTTTTTCTCAGCCTTATCCTTCTTCACTTGCTTTTCACTCTTGAGGAACTTGTCTGTTTTCTCGTTTTTCACCTTTTTTTTCTTCTCCTTCTCAGGTTTCTCCAGCTTTTCGTGCTTTTTGGATTCCTTTGCTTTCTGGGGGGGAATATTCCCCACCCGCAACTCGTCCTCCAGCTGAGAGGCAGTTGGCCTGCTGAGGTCGTATTTACTCTCGTACTCATTGCTAAGGATTTTGTCCTGGACTTTCTTTTTGGGAGGCTTCCCCTTCGCTGGCTTGTGAGGACCTGGCACCACGTTTGCGTCCCGGTGGCCGTGCTCCCGCCGGTCGGTGCGGTTGTCCCGGAGACGGCCCGCGCCCGCCCGCGTGCTGTGCTCCGAGGCGGTGGTGGGAGGGGCAGCCGTGAAGCTCTCCAAGCTGGTGGCCTTGCTGGGCCTCCTGGTGGCCTGCAGCCTCTCCCTGTGCTGCTCCTTCCTGGGCTGGGGGTAGAGATTCTCCGAGGCCCCGGGCTCCCTGGCCGTGGCCACCTCAGCAGTTGCTGGGGGCCGGTGGGCGTCCGAGGAGGGGTGCGCCCTGGGGGTCCAGGGCCTCTGGGTGGTGGGAAAGGCCGTGGTGGTTGTCGGTCTTGCAGCCGCGGTGACCACCCGAGAGGTGGCCCGGGTCACTGTTGGCACTGCAGCAGGAGACAGGGTGGTGGCGGCCCTTCGGGTTGGAGGAGCGGGGGGAGCAGCGGCCGTGGCGGTGGCCGGCTTCCTGAGCACCTTCCCCCGAGTCTCTCTGGTCGGCGGGACTTGTGCTCGCCTCTGGTCTTCTTTTCTCTTCTCACCGCTCAGGCCTGGCCTTCCGGCTCCTCCACCATGGTTCCCCTCCTCCACCACCTGGCCCTCTACCCCAGACGCCTTACATTTTTGGACAAAACCCTTCTGCCTGATTTTCTCTATCCGGCGGATGGGGCCCTGGTCGATGATCTCATACAGGGCCTCCAGCCTGACCGGATACGGGTAGCGCTCCTCCACCTGCAGCGTCTTCTTCAACAGCACCATGCCGAACTTGCCCTTCTCCAGCTTCAAGAAGCTCATGAGCTTTGGGACGAGGTTGGGGTCCAGGGGCTGCTCCAGGACGCGGCCCTCGCTGGTGATCCTGCGCACCTTGCCTCCTTCCTCGCCGGCCTGGTGGAACAGCACGATCTGCTGGATGTGCCTCTCGGCCAGCTCGCAGTACACATCGTCCTTCAGGAGGCTCATCATCAGGCGGTAGTAGCCTTCCGAGGCGTGCGGCGCCGAGATGACCCACACCCTGTTCTTCCCTGCGAAGCTGGCGAGGATGTTGGGAGAGCTGGACCCAGAGGGGAAGCGCAACACTCTGGAACGGGCTGAGGACCCCTCATCTCGGATCATGTCACGCGGAGAGCTCGGGGCTCCTGGTCTCTGCTTCGGTCTCGCCGGGGCTCCACTGCCGCGCGGCCTGGCTGGCGGGGCTGTTGCGGGGGCCACCCTCAACACGGGCACACTCCTCCTTCTTTGGAGAGGCGGAAGCTTTGGTTCTTCCACAGTGGTTCTCTCAAGTCCCTGAGCCTTCCCTGTGTGCCTCAGAAGCCGAGCTGGCCTTCTGTGGACGGGGGAGACCAGGGGCACCTTCCGCCCTCCGTGGCTCCCTCTATGCATGGCATGGAGGTGGGGTTCTGATCCGCACACCAGCCACATTGCCAGCAGCATGGTAACACTGAGTCCCATTCTCCATGTCATTGTGCAATCCACTTTGAAAGGCAGCGGGGTCAAAAGACAGAGAGGGGGGAGGGGGAGTGAAAAAAAAGAAAGAAAGAAAGAAAGAAAAGAAAATCATTTAATTGCAAACAGAACTGGGCATTTTTTCTCTTTCTCTATCTTGGCCAAGGGGTGGGGGAAGGGATGGTGAGAGAAGAAGGAAGGAGGTCAGGGAATGGAAAATAGGATGAGATCCTGTTGCTTTTAAACCCCTGCAATTTGTTAGTGCTTAACAGAGACAGTTCCATTAAGCAGGAAACCCAGCTCAGTTCCCCCATTCAGCCTGCGTGCACCGTTTCCACGGGCTCTCTGATGCTCCAGAGAAAAGGCACACTGAGCACGTTAATGATGACAACATTCCTATTTCATTTCTTCAAATAAGCAACAAAGAAACAAACAAACACACCAAAGACAGAAAAGATTACACACTTACATGGTGGCTCATGGAGATGGAATGCAGAGGGTTTAAAAGGCAATCTGAAGTGTGGTCCCAGGACAGTTTTCTAGATGAAATACTTTTCCTCCCAAGCCTCTTTCTCCTTTGCAGGCTGAGCGGTACAAAGGGGGGTGTGCTGCAACTCCAGCTCCCAAAGGCGCCACCGACCCACAGCCTGTCCTGACCTGAGGGCTGAGCTGCTTTCTTCTTTCCTCTGGCTGTCTTTTCACCTTCTTGACAAGTAGGATGAGGTGAAAGGAGCTGTCCTTGTAAGTCTTTGCTTCTCCATTTGTCTGTAGTTTCTGCTCGGTCTTGTGTGTCTGTGTGTGCCAGTCCCCTGTGCCGACAACACAGGGCGCCCCTGGAAGTGGAGTCCCAGCTAGTCCTGAATCTTGCTCTCTCTTTAGAGTTCCAGGATCCTTCTTATCACCCTTTCCCCCACAGTCTGGCTTAGTCCCTTTGTTTCCAAGCGTAAAAGCACTGGGATTAATATGTTTTCCAGGCTGAGGGAAAACACAGGAATGTGATGTTGAAAAAGACTTTTTTTTTCTTTTCCTGCGCTTCTCTCCTCCCTTTATTTCTCCCCACCTTTTTTTTTTTTCCTCCTCTTTTCCTTCTCCTTTTCTTCTTCCTCTTGCCTGGACTCGGTCCCAGAAATGCCAGGACAACCTCAGTTTTGATCCAAACCAAACTCAAACAACAGCAGCCGCTGGAAATCAAGGAAACTTCACTAAGAATTTAACAGATCAGCAAAACACCACCTCCTTCTCACTTCAGCACGTTGAGAGTGGACTCTCGGTGGGGAAGGGGAGGGCTGCTCTTTGGGGTGGGGGAGAGTTTTGAAACACTACCCATCATCATAAATCACTTTAGAATAGGATGGCTGAGGACTTAACCCCTTCCTTGCCAGGAAGGATAGTTTCCCTTCCTGTCTGTACTCACATTGTACTTTGGAAAGGGAAAATTCTCAGATTTCTGCATCTGGCTGCTTGGCTTTCCTAGAGACAGATACTCGTTTGGCTCAGGGTGCTTGGCTACACATCCACAGACAGTATATATATTTATAGTTCCATGTGTATATTTTTATCTCTTTCTCCCTGTTTCATGTGTTTAGTTTGAGGTTGGAAAAGCCCGTGGAAAACATGACTGGGTTGTTTTTATTTTATGCTAATTGGGGATCATATTACTGAGTTCTTGTTCCTAGTTTTCTCTTTGGCATGGAAGGAAGCTGGTAAAAGGTTAGAAATGTAAGCAAGGGCTGCTGTTCTCCTGAGATTGTGATTGGTCATTACATCAGGAGAAGGGCATTATGATCTCTAGTTCTGGGCTCTGGCTAGAGACGCTAGGCTAAGAGAGAGCTTCCTCAGAGAACATGATCGTGTGTCTGGGGGTATGGGGGGGGATGTAGTGCAGTATTGTGCTCCCAGAGGCTTCTGCTGTCTGGAGGGTTTTAGGCAATCCCTAGAAGTTGTCATGTCAGGTTCCAAAGGAGAGACTGAGACAGCTCTGTGCATCCACCTCCTGGACCTGCCAGGGGGATTTAGCTCTTGGTGGTGAGAGAAGGCGCCTCGGGGTATACAGATATTTAGCCCAGTCTCTGAAAGAGCACCATTCAATCGGGATTAACGGCCATAGACAGTGGTGAACCAGGATTCTCAGAAGCCTCCTTCAAGCTAGGTCGTGTTAATGGTTACCCTCACTGGTTCCTAATTGCCACCCCCTTGATCAGTCCCGTCTTCGACTGGTCACATTTACCTTTCCTTCACACAAACTCCCAGCACTGAATTAAAGACCTGTAGGGGGTTGAATGTAGGGTTCTCAGCCCACAGCTTCAAGACCAAGGTGTGCCAAGAGGGAAGGCTCTCCTGTGAAGCCCTTTCTGACACTTGTGAGTACAGTAACAAAGGTGAACTTCAGACAGAGACTCTGTATCTACTGGGGTCGGGGAAGACTCCCCCTTTCATGGGATTCACCTGTTAAGTTGATCAAATAAATGCCTCTGCTAAGTTGGAAGTCCTAGATGTTATTTTCTTTCTTACATCATAATGTGTTCCACGTCTATCCCTTACTGAGCTTTCTTCTTTCCTTCTCTTTTACTTTTGTCTTTTCCCTACTCATAACACTACCATTTATTGTGCATTTTCACATGCATCCCTGGGCCTGGTGCTTTTGTATCTTCCTTTATCTAACCCTCATAGCATCCCTACAAGGTAGGCGGGATGACCGCCATTTTACAGATGAACAAATTGAAGCTTAGTAAGTTTAAATAAATTTCTCAACATCGCACGAATGGTAGGTGGTAGCTCTGAAATTTGAACCCAGATTTAGAAGTATCTACCCAGCATTATGCTATCCTGTCTCCCTCTTTCATTTTCTCCCCATGCTTTCTCTTTTTTCCTCTTCCTTCCTTTTTGTGTTTGTCATATTCAGAGAGAAGTATTATTTGTTTTCTCAGCCAGAGTACTTATAATTTTAGAGTGCTACTTTCTGGAATAACTAACAGTGCTTCTTGACTTTCTTAATAGGTTCTCAAAATCTTTTATCCTCTTCCTTAAACATCCCATGCCTTTCAGCAACCTCCTAACGATGTGTACCATATTTGCCCCCTGTGCACTGGTAAAGTTGAAATACAGTCAGTTTTGCCATGGGGAATTGACCCAGAGGGGAAGCCAGCCCAACCCTGAGCTGTGTGTGTGTCTTCGTGGGGCTTTCTTCCCTTCTGTGAGCTCCACTAGATGGCGCGCGAACCACGTAGGTGGAGGAGGACCGACTCCGTGCCTCCCCAGAGCTATCTGCCCCCCACATTCCCGCACAGACGCACTGCCAGAGTGGGGCTTCTCCTGCCTGTTAGGAAGTTTTCAAACTCAATACCTAAAGCCTTCCCTGAGACCTTAAGAGTCCGGGGAACACATACTTAATAAAAGCAATTAGGAAACAAGTGAGAATCCACAGCTTTCTGGAGAATCGTGTACTGATACATGGTTTGCAAAGATTCTCAATTTCTAGTCCAAGATTTAAGAGCTCTGTGTTAAAAAGTCTTCCACAGAGATATTTCCATTTTTCTATAACCTAAAAAAGAAACAGTGACCCATTAACTGAGAAGAGAGATTTGAAAGAGATGGATGCTGAGGCAGACGGGGGTAAAAGGAATACAAGTTTAAAGTGGACTTTAGAAATGCTAGTTTGGGAATTCACTGTGTTGAAACTGCCTGACACCCGTTGCACAGTAATTTGGAGGGAGGAAAGGAAATGAATGAGCAAAACAGAATGGCTTTGGAGACACAGGGTTGGGAGTAGTGTTTTGATGAATGTGGGAGTGAATGTAAGGAGGCATCCAGAAGAAGGTGTGCTAACTGGTCAGACCCACACTGACCTAAAGCTTCAGCAACCTGGGACCAAGACTTGGGAAAATAGCAGAGCTGTTTTATCACATCTTTGTGTCAGAGGCATGGAATGGCACGTTGAGGTTACTGCTGGGTGTTTTTCGTTTTTATTTGCAGACCTTAATCAAATGTTCAGTCTTAAGAATGAAGACCACATTTGTGTCTTTCAGAATGCAAAGGAATTCTCCTCTTTCTCAGTATTCAAAGGGTAGGACAATGAAAGAAATAAACAACAGGGTCCAGGGGAAAGCCAGGGATGTGTTAATTCAGGATGCTGCCAGTCCAGAGAGGCTCTGAGACAGGGTAATTCCCAACAAAGAAACACGCTAAAATTGTCCCTGGAATGTCAACAGGGTCACATGTTTGATCCAAAATTGATGAATATGTGTATTTAAAAAAGTAAAATAAAAATAATTATTTGATAAGATAATGTCCCAAACTATTGGGAAACGGTTATTAATATTCTTTTTATTCATTTTTTTAAATTGCTTTAGAGTTTGTTGGGGGAGACTTAAAGGCACTTTTTTCCCCAAGCGGAAGGTTATTTAATTAAGAGAATGTTGAACTCCTAATAAGAACAAGTAGAAAGATCTTGCTATTAAGGAAGATTAAGGAAGATTAAGGAAATATGTGAATCACCTAATGGCTCATTTTAAATCTTTGAGGTCAATGATTTGAAATTTAGGTCCATATTGATTGTCATTCTGTCTGTGCAAGAGGTGTAAATTTGTGGGCATATCAATTTGCTGCTTGGGAAGGGATAGACAGTACCTTGTTAAAAGTCTTAACCATTGGCCATGTAATGCATGTAAAAGATTTCTAGCAATCAGGTTTAAAGAGGCAAATTCTAGTTATGCTGCTCTTCACACCTTTGTATATAGCGAAGAAGAGATCAGTGATCCATTTTTTTTTTTCTCCCTTCTTTCAGCTATTCTCTCAAATATTTGCCAAGAGTGTAGACTTTGTATCAGGAGTGATACAGGACCAGGCAGTCTCTTCCCCTTAGAAACTCACAGCCCGTTGGAAAAGATAAACAATTTTCAATTATACTTGCACAGCAATACCACCAACTTCCTCTTCGTGTAAAGATTCAGTGCTGACTATGGCTACAGCCAATATGCACAGTCCATTCCTGTTGGAAACTTTGCTCCTTCAGTTCCCCC